TTTTCATATTTGTTGGTTGATTCTAGAATAGAAAACACAATTCCAACCTGCAAGTGGGGCCTGAATCCCAACCTCAAATTAAAACACTCATATCAGAAGCATCTCTGAGTCATTCTGCACTCACCTGAGGACATGGCCTGAATCAATTTTTCATCCTCATCTAAATTCTTCATTAAGAGACGTTTATCTCTGAGTATGAAATTTATCCAGTGCAATATTTACAGAGTGAGACTACACTAGCAATGGATTTGTCTAAATTTTAACTGAACCCAAGCATGTGATACTGTCAGATGAGTGGTCTAAGGAAAATCATATACTGACAGATACTGACAGAAGAAATAACAATGGAAGTCACCCCTGAACCAGACTTGGTCAGAGTCACTGCTGTGGGTGGTACACCAGGTACACTAGCACACCTTCCCCCACGAACACTCAGTGTGGGACCCAAGAAAGTTGGTCTCTCTGTCTCTTTCTGTGTCTCACATCCCCAGCTCCTTATTCTGTCAGCTGAGTCTCTTTCCACGTTCCTGGTGGGAGGGTTCAGGCTGGCTTTTCCACTGCCTATGACGTTCCTATGTGGCCCAAGGTCTGCTGTGCAATCCAGGTCTTGCAAATAATAAATCTTTATTGTTCGAAATTTCTTGATGCTTGCAGCTGAAGTGTGACTTACAACCATATATAAAACCACAAGCATGAACCTGACCATATCATTGGCTATGAAGAAGATGAGACCCACACAAAACTTGAACTTCCCTTCCTGAAGGGAGAACACTGGCTTTCACCATCTCTGACCATTGATCTCACTGCTCAATTGCAGACACAAACCAGAAACATCATAATTATTGATCACTTATGCCATGGGACACAACCGCCTCATTTGGAGTAAAGGGCTCATATACAATCAGTTTTCTCTTTGGACCTACAGGTTCCCCTCCTTTGCAAAGTCCCTCAGGTCAGGACCTTTCTGTGCCACCCCTTCAGTGAGATTGGTTCACAAATTTGTAGCAGCAGATGGTGTAATGTCACACTGTGCAATCCATCACGGACACCCCATCTCCTAAATGACTTTTATGCATGCACTAAGGTACTGTTACTCTGGCCTAGATTTTAGTGAGCTGCGATTATGCAGCAGTGTAATGTGACCATCATCACAGTGTCATGTACAAGAGTGGCACCACCGTAAATACAATTACTGTGCTTCACACATTCACCTTCTTCCTCCTCCTTCCTCTAACTTTTCCTCTAACTTATAACTTTCTAACGTTCCTCTAAATTCTTCCTCTTTCTTCTTCCTAACCTCTTTAACTTCCTAACACTTCTATATCCCTGCTCTACCAAATTGTAATACAATAACAATGATAAGAATGAGCCTTTTATATGTTCTTCTTCCCTGAGAAATGTGTATTTAAAATTCATGTATATTTTTTGACTCAAGAGTTACTTTATTTTAAATTTTGATTAAGATCCCAGTGAATGAATATACAATATATTCGAGGACATCTTTGTTACCTTAAGTCTTAGTCATTATATAAAAGCTGGTATAAAAATCAGTGTGCAGATTTTTTTTTTTGCTTTCATGCTTTGTGTTATGAACAGTTTCTATAAACATTCACCTGCAGGTGTTTCTCTAGAATGTTATCACTTTGTTTTGTTTTGTTTTCTTAGTTTGTTTTCTTTGTTTACCTTTCAAGATTTTTACTTTGGGATCATTTTAAGTATTTCCTGCAAACATCAGAAAATGAACAAACTGGTCATCTGGTTATAGCTAAGGTAATCTTCTTTCCAGATGCAAACAGAACTGACATATACATCAAGCCAGGCAAGGATGGTGCTGAAGCCCAAAGAGAGACTCAGAGCCCACAGAAAATTTCATTTATTGACAATTCAGAAGAAAATTATTGAATGTACATAAGCTGAGAAGAAACTGTCCCAATTCCTGAGGACAAGGAATTTCTATTTCCTTTGAGACTCTTTGTGTAGAAATGGGCTTGCCTGGATGACTCTGAGGATAGAAGGAAGAGAAAGAACCTCACTCCCAGACAGTGTCCCTGGATGGACACTGGCCAAGAGTGTCAAAAAAAAAAAAAGAAGAAGAAAAATCACAGCCAGAGCTGAGTAGCCAGGTGCTGTGTGGTTCATGCTTTTGGCAGAGGAGTAACCAGGAATGTGACTTAGTGTCCCATGGGCAAGAAAACCATGTTAGCACTAAGAACCTTGAGCCACACTGAGTTGTAACAAACAGCCTTGAGTCCATTGATAATGATGGATCCCAGGCTTCCAGCCTTGGAGGCAGAAAATGGATCTCTGTCCCCTGAGAGTGAATGGTAATAGTAATTACCATGGATGAGGAGTTTGGGGTCATTCCATACATGATTTGGGGATGATACTAGGCCAGGAGATTATGACACTCTGACCCAGGGCCCCAGACACTGAGGGAAGCTGAGTCAGCACAGACAAGACCAGGACCCTGGAAAAAGGACACATGTGTCTCTACTTAATTTTATCACTGAAAATAAGTCATATTCTCTGGGCCCAGGGGTTTTGTCTCACTTCCTCATTGTCTGAGACACTGTGAGTGGGTATAGCTGCACCCAGTCCAGTGACCTACAGCACAGTAATAGTCAGCCTCATCCTCAGACTGCAGCCCAGAGATGAGAAGAATTCCTGTATTAGTGGAGGAATCCATGGATCCAGACTCAAATGGGGACCCAGGTCCCCCATGGAGGAAGATGAGAACAGAGGAAAGAGGGAAAAGTCACATGTCCTCAGGTGGGACACAAGGAGGTGACCAACTGTACCTTAGGCTGTGAGAGAGGGAAGGATGTTCCAGAGTTTCAAGTGGTTGGAGGACAATACCCACAGAGATGGGGATGCCCTAACTTACATGGGTGAGATCAGGCGAGAGAGCAGGTGGGAGGCAGGTGATGTGTGTGTTTTCCTGTGTCACATGGTGATCATGGAGTGAAAGTGTGGAAAATTTATAATAATTCAGAGACAAGAAGGGCTGCAGTGACTGATACTCCAAGCTCTGAGGACTGCATTGTGGCCTCTTACCTGACTGTAAAGAGGGGTGGCTCTCCCACAAACCATTTCCTCCTAGGCAGGTGGCTTGTGGCAGAGGCACTGGTCTCTGTGCCTGTAGAGATATGCAAGGGACAAAACCTCTAATGCCCTGAGACACCTCAGCTTCACATAATTTGGAGTCCACGTGGAAGAGGAGGCAGATGCAGGACAGCACAGCCCTTGTCCTGAGGATGGCAAACAGTAGCAAATGTCAGTTGCAGTGGCCCTGGAAGTGAAGTTCTCAGTTCTCCCTCCCAGGAAACCCTACAGGTAGGACTCTACGTAACTGACAGCCCCACTGCTCCTTTGTTGGTTGCAGGCAAATGTCAGCTCAGGGATCACTGAATCTGGCTTTTTCTGGGGGAAGAAGGCTCCACAAATGCCCCTCAGGTGCCAGGACCTTCCACATCCCTGTTGACATGCACAGACCTGTGGTCCCAGGCTCTTCCTACCTGAGACTCCCTTCCATGTCTCCTTCCAGGGATCAGACCTATAGCTACAGGATCTCCCTCCAACTCCAACTCCATCCCCATTGATCCTTCACCAGCAGTCCCCTCTGAGGATCACATCATTTTCTTGTCCCTTTTTGTCATCTGATTATGACACATGTCAAACTCAGTTCTCTGGGGCTTCTCTGTGTGTTAGCAGTGAGAAGGGAGCATGATGACAGAAGTCCAGGCCTTGGGGACAGAGGTGTCTGAGTGCCAAGCTGGGGCTGAATGGCCAGGCCTTTTTGTCTTCTCCAGTGACCAAAAGGGGAGGACTACTTACATGAAATTTTTCCTCCTGGAGAATCTATTGTATCCTTGGTTCTTAGATTAGAGCCTGAGGGTGAGCCTCAGAGTTTCTCCCCAGGGGGGCACCAGGCAGGAAGCAACTGCTTGGATCTGGGACCACGGACCAGTGAGCATGACCCTCTGCCCAGCCAGATGGTCTACATTTCCTAAGTCCACAGAAGTACATACAGATGCTAATTCCTCAGCCTGGTGACATTGGGGAATTACAGAACAAGGAGCCCTCACTGAACAGAAACTTGGAAAGGCACTCAGCGCCCCCTACTGTCGACTGGCCAAACCTTGACTCTGGCTGGAAATGATGCCAGGGCAGGACTAACATTCAGCTCACTATCAGTCCACAAAATATCAATGGGCTATATGGCCTTGCTGTGACCCAACTTCCTCATATAGATGGATTTTTTAATTTCTCAAGGAGCACATGCTTTCCAAATTAGAAAAAAAATAAAGGCAATTTTATGAATATGTCATATATTTGTCATTAACTTTTCAAGGAGTTTTTAAATTACACTATTAATAAAGGGAACATTGCCATAGTTAATTAAGTGATGACCCAAATTAGAAGAAATAAAAATTGTGGAGCATTGGTATCAGAAGAGAATGAACTCTCTCAGGTAGCATTCACAGTGAACTGTTCCAAATGTTTCTTCTCCTTCATCATCTTCACAGCGCACTAATTAGAAGCATCTGGCATGTGGAAAAGAACAGCACATGGGCTATGGATCCACCTCATTTTCTATCCAGATGAAGACATGTTCCATATTCTTTGGTCTCCATCATCAAATTACTGAATCAGGACATGATAATTAATGTCATTTGAATAAGAAGTATCTCACAAGGAGCAGTGAGCTCACTGAATCTCCCTGTTTGTGGATATATTTTTTATGTGAACCCCCTCCCCATAACTATAAACAGAGTAGAAGGGATGAAGCCTGGACTTTTGGAATCACACTGGAGAGAATGACACACCCTGGTAAAGTTGAGAATGGGGTATATGACCAGGAACCACTGGAGAGGAGAATGGGGCAAGGGAGCCTCCCTTCCCATGGTGTTGTTGACTACCCTCCCCCACTTTCTCTCTTGCCTCTAAGACTGAGCAGTTCTGACCCACGAAGAGGTTCTGGTTGCACTTCCCCCATTGGTTTAAATCACTGTGTAAGTATAACCATCAAAATACAGAACACAGTAATAGTCAGCCTCATCCTCAGGCTGGGCCCCTGTGATGGTGAGGGTGGATTTGTCACCAGAGATGGCTCTAGAGAAGAGGTCAGTGACCCCTGAGGGGTGGCTTTCTGTGTGGTAGATAATCATGTGAGGATGCTGGCCTGGGGTCTGCTGGTACCAGCTTGGGTAGTGACCTGTCGAGACTGAACCAGAACTAAGGGCACAGGTAAGTGTGACTGTCCCTCCTGGAAAAATCGTTAGTGATGGCTCTGGGGTCACCACATTCTGAGAATCTGCTCCTAAAACCAAAAGGAGAAACAAGTTTTATTACTGGAGACAAGGGTCACCCCAAGAACTTGATTGTAAGTGCCCTTCAAGGATGAAGAGTACCCTCCCCTGACCTGAGGCATAAGTGAGGAGCCCAAGAAGAAGCACCATACAGGCCATGGTGGGGAAGTCACAGGATGCAGGCTCCTCAGGCTCCTGGACTAGAGTATGCTGTCCCTGGGCATTTTCATGCCTCTCTGACCCATTAAGAAGAGAAGATGCTTCATGCAAATCGACTTCCCCTCTCTTCCTTCCCCAGGGTCACCCTGCTGTCCCCTGAAGGAGAATTTGAAAGAAGCATAAGCTGGGAACTCACACAAACCAATGATTGCAGGATTACTGGAATACTCATTGACAGGGATGATATCATTTGCCTAGTCAGCTCCCTGACGTCCCAGGTGACTTCAGCCAAGTCTCCTCTCTGGAAAGCCTGAGACAGAGGACATGGGTGTATTCTCCAAATCTTAGCCCTGCTTCTAGTTCATTTCAAATCCATCCCAATCCTGGGAACGCTTTCTGCTCTCTTCAGTGACATCCCTGATTTTCTCCTTGTTGGATCTTAGTGGTCACTCCTCCAACAATGAATCCCCTGGGAATCTCAGAGTACCCATCTTGGTGGTGAAGGAAAAGGATCTCCTCTGACTTAGCCCTTAAACCTTTTTCTGGAAAACATGGAGAAGTATAGCAGGCTTCACGGTGCATATACCAAATGACCCTCCAGGCTGAAGAATCCATTATTGTCTGTTCTAAGAAGCTGTCTAATCCATATAGTCCTTCAATATAACTGTAGGCTTTGAGGAGGAAAGGTCAGAGAGTCACCATGAAATTCTGAAAAAACTGTCTGCATTGGGTATAACAAATAGAGACAAGTGTGACTCAGGATCAGAAATGAAAAGGATACTGTGTACCTGACTGGCTCAGTTCATAAAACACAGAGTGCTTGATTGTGAGTTAGAGCCCCACGTTGAGCTTACTGCTCACTTAAAAAGGAAGTCAATGAAATAATAATTAAAAAAAGACACTGTGTAAACAAGTGGATGTGGCTAACGAGGAGCGTTTTCATATATTTTTCCCTTGTGTTCTGCTGAGGGAGGAGTAGAAAGACCTAGAAGTCAGAGAAGAGTCTTGTAGTTAGGAGAACTGGCAGGAAGATTAAGGGGTTTAATGAGGCTCAAGGTTAGTGTTTTTCTCAGGATGAGTTATAAATATGATTGGCATATTAGAATCAAAATGAGGCCTGTGTGATTCAGTTCTGAGGGCTCATGTCACTTCTGGGGATAGTCACCCACAGTGAACACTTTGCTTCGTAAATGTGCATGGGCCAGTGATAGATTTTCCTGGTCTTCCTGACCAAAATGTAGACCTCTGATATCTCAGGAGCAGTCCATCAGTGTCCCCTGCTGATATCAGACACCATGCCACCCAGCCCATGTCATACTCCTCAACAGTCCTGGAAGGACTTTCTGAAATTTCAGGAGGACTTTTCTTTTCTTTTTCTTTCTTTTTTTAAAAAATTTATTTATTTATTTGATAGAGAGAGAGATCACAAGTAGGCAGAGAGGCTGGCAGAGAGAGAGGGGGAAGCAGGCTCCCTAGTGAGCAGAGAGCCCGATGTAGGACTTGATCCTGACCTAAGCTGAAAGCAGAGGCTTAACCAACTGAGCCACCAGGTACCCCGTCAGGTAGACTTTTCTGATGTCAACACCCAGGGCACTAGAATGATCAGGTCAGCTTTGGGGTTGATCCATTCATTTTTTCCAGGTCAATACCCTCAGGTAGACATATAAGGGAATTATTTATGTTATGAGATATTTTAGGAGTACCTGATAATCTGACTTTACTTCTGCTTTGTCCCTGGTTTCATTAATGAGACGTAATTCACTTGAATCAAGCTTAAGGCTTAAGACCAACAGAGAAGCCCATTAATTCCTCCCTGGGTGATAACTCTAACTGGGTTAGCCTTACAGGTTGACTTACTTGGTTATCGTTGTTGTCAGGGTCTCCTGTTAGGTTCACCAGCTCCCACGGCATATATTTTGTCCTTATATATGTCTTTGTCACACAAATACTCTCTCAAGGACAACATGTTTCTTGTCTTCAATTATTGCCATGGGTCGTCATTTATGCTTTAATAATTATTATATGTTTATAATAATTAATTTGTATTAACTCTGATATATTTAAGATGTTTTCCTCAAATATTGTAAATTATCTAAGACAACTATTAATATTTAATAACATTTCTGTAAGTGATCTATAAAATTAATATGTTGCTGTCCACTGAAAATTTATTCTTCTGTTCCACTTCCTTCCTGAATGGATAACTGTTCATACTTTAAAGGATGTGTTGTAGTAAGATATATATATATATATATCTATATATATCTATATATATACACACACACATATATACACACACACACATACACACACACACACATAGTATGTGGGTGTATATATGTATATGATTTACATAGCTAATATATAAATTATATATAAGATTTATATATTGTATATTATATGAATTATGTATTTATAAATTATTGTATATATTATTAATATATGTTTTATATTAAAATATATATAAATTATATATAAATGTATATAAGATTTATATATTATATGCATATATACATGTATACATTATATATAAAATATAGAAATGCATTTATAATTCTATAACAGTATATATTATTATTATTATTACTAACAAGATCTTGCTTTTTGTGTTCTAATGCTCCAAGACCAGCATTTCCACATAATATGTAATTGGTGATCTTAGTTTAGCAATACATGTAGATCTGTCTCATTTTGATTCATAGTTAATCTTTACCCCATAGGATGATTTGACATATTTTGGCCACTTTTCCAATCAGAAGCACTCAGGCTGGTTTCAATTATTTTTCATTATGAGTGACTCTGAACTGGACATATTTGTATATTCATTATTAAGTGCCTTAGGTAGATAATTTTTTAATACTCACTTTTAAAAAATATAATACTGAATCAAAATATGTATATGCTTAATATTTTGATAAAATATTAAAAATATATTCCAAAATGGATCAAAACATTTGTAAACTTTGAGACCCATCTCATCCCCATATCTGCATGGATGGTTAACATTTAGTTTATACTGGAAGCCAGATGTCTCGTCATGGGATGCCAATATGACATGATTATAGTTGTACCTGGACTTGGTGAAAACAATTTTAGGTTTTCCTTCCTCATCTGGGTCTCCCACTACACCAAGCACCACTATAATAGTACCCCCCGATGGTACTCTGCCTTGTCCTAGGGCGGGGCACCAGTGAGGGTCAGATTTTCCTGGAAAGAGAAAACCTGAGAAATTGGTGGCATTCCAAGAGTGTTTATTGCTTGTATCCTAAATCAATTCCCTGGGGACTTGGCCAGGCTTCTGCTGGAACCAGTATGGCTAGTGAGCATTAGTGACTACTCCAGTGATGGAGTAGTAGGTGAGAGTGACTGTTTCTCCTGGAGACACAGTCAGTGAGGGCTCCTGATTCACCACATCCTGAGAAATACTGGTCCTTGAAATGGAAATAGACATGTTAGGAATGAAGAATAAAGGTGGAAGTATTTCTCCAAAGGCTGGCTTTTGAAATCTCCATGAACCTGGGCAGTGGGTAAGGAGGAAGAGAAGGGGTAGAGGAATCTAGATCATAGTGTGGACTTTCCATAGTTTCCCTGGCCTTACATCTGGTACTGGTCTGACATTGTCCTTTGTCTCCTCCTGATCTCCAAGGACAAAAGGGTGGTACTGGTGGTGCATTATGCAAATATGAGTCCCCAGTGTCATTTGAATCTGGCACCTCATCTCAGCTAATAGCTTCTCTCCCAAAAAGAGTTCATCATAGACCTCCTCTTAGGAGAATTCTGAGTTTATCTTCTGGGAAGAAGAGCTCTGAGGTTGTCCCCTGGGAGGAAGAAGCTGCTGTCACCTCTAACTCAGGGAGTGAACAGGAATGCAGGGCCCAGTCAGGTGGAAAAAATTCAGTTGATTTCAGGCCTTGCCAGCTCTGGGAAGGTCTATAGAACCCCTAGTGACATCCTTAAGAGTCTACTCATGGCAGAGGGAATTAGAAAGGATATAGTTCATTTGTGCTTTCTAAAAAGAAGTAACAAGTGTTTTCTGTTCTTGAGGTTGTTCAGAGAAGGTTCTTTATTAATTCCTTCTATTGTATTTTCAGTTCTATAATTTCTATTTGGTACGTTTTGATGACGTCTATTCAAGTTCCACATTTCTGTTTTTCTATTTTTTCCAAGAGCATCTGTAGCTGTTCATCAGACTGATTTTGTGATTGTTGCCTGAAAATATCCGTCATCTAATTTCAGCAACTGAGTAACCCTGGTGGTAGTGGAAGTAAATTCTATCTCATTCAAGGTTTGATTTTAATGGTTCTTTTAAAATTCAATTAATTAACATATAGTGTATTATTTGTTTCAAAGTTAGAGTTTAATGACTCATCAGTTGCACACAACGACTAGTGCATGTTACAGCAAGTGCCTTCCTTCTTTAATGCCTTATTTCCCTAAATTCCTTCCTTAATGTCCATCACACAGTTACCTCATCCCACACCCACCTCCCCTCCAGCAACCATCCATTTAATATAGTTGAATGTTTTATCATTTGTCTCTTTCTCTGATTTAGTCTCATTTTATTATTCCCTCTATCCCCCTATGATCCTTTTTATTTCTTAAATTCCACATATAAATGAAATTAAATGATAATTGTCTTTCCCTAGTTGACTTGTTTCACTTATCTTAATGCCCACTAGTTCCATCTAGTCAAGGAATGGTTAAGATTCCACTTTCCTGATGGCTGTGTAATATTCAATTATTCATTTTGATGTAATTATTACCCATCATTATATAATTTATAACTATATATAATTATACAAGTATAATTATATTATAAAATGATTATATACTATCCATCATTATATAATTATATCTTTTATATATATATACAAAATGGAATATTACACAGCCATCAAGAAAGTGGAATCTTAAATTTTATATATATATTAAAAATTGTGTTCATATTTATATTATATATTATATTTTATTATAATAATTATATATTATATGTTATGTAT